TATATATATATATATATTATATATGTACATATGTGTGTGTGTATGTGCAGAGAGAGACACATCCATATATTTGCACATATTTACACCTGGAAAAAAACCGAGTCACGTTACACAGAGCAAAACCCATCGATCGAGGTATAGGTCGCGAGGAGAGCAAAAGAGGCGAGTCACTTCACACACAACCCATTCCGACGCCGACAAACATTCTCGTGACGTGAGCTGTTATCATCCCGGAGACGGAAATGCGCAGACAGAGAGACGGGAAGGCAGACCTAGGAGAGAAGAAGGGAAGGGAGGGAAAGGGGGAGAGAAGTGAAGAGAGGGAGAGGCAGACTTAGGAGAGAAGAAGGGAAGGGAGGGAAGGGGGAGAGAAAGAGAAGGAGAGCAGACTTAGGAGAGAAGAAGGGAAGGGAGGGAAAGGGGAGAGAAGGGAAGAAAGGGAGAGGCAGACTTAGGAGAGAAGAAGGGAAGGGAGGGAAAGGGGGAGAGAAGGGAGAGAAGGAGAGGCAGACTTAGGAGAGAAGAAGGGAAGGGAGGGAAAGGGGAGAGAAGTGGAGAGAGGGAGAGGCAGAAGGGGAGAAAAGGGAAGGAAGGGAAAGGGGGAGAGAAGTAGGGAGAAGGTGAGAGAAGGAGAGAGGGGAGGGCTTAGGGAGGGAAAGGGGGAGAGAGGAAGAAGGGGAGGAGGGGAGGGAAGGGAAGGGGAAAGAAGTGAAGAGAGGGAGAGGCAGACTAAGGAGAGAAGAAGGGAAGGAAGGGAAAGGGGAGAGAAGTGAAGAGAGGGAGAGGCAGACTTAGGAGAGAAGAAGGGAAGGAATGGGGAAAGGGGAGAGAGGGATGGGGTGGGAGGAGAGAAGAAGGGAAGGAAGGAAAAGGCAGACATAGGAGAGAATAAGGGAAGGGAGGGAGGAGGAATGGGGAAGGGGGGAGAGGGCGAGGAAGGGATGGGGGAAGGAAAGGCAGACTTAGGAAGGAAGGAAGGGAGGGAAAGACAGACATAGGAAAAAAGAAGAGTAGGAAGGAGGCAGAGGAGAGAAGGGAAGGGAGGGAGAAGAAATGGGGAAAGAGAGAGGATGGGGAAGGAGAGAAGAAGGGAAGGAACTGAAAGGCAGACATAGGAGAGACGAAGGGAGGAAAGGGAAGGAAGGGATGGTGAAGATGGTAAAAAGTTCCTGCAAAACAAAGGAACCCTGAATAACGCCCAAGAACTGGCCGGTAAATATTTCCGACAGAGTCTAGGAGGAATTCGCTCAACATTCCTGACATCAAAATGGGCAACAACTCTGGAGAAAGTCCGTGGTTGCGGAGACCTTCCAAGACCGCAACACGCATTCGGACGCGCTCGTATGTTCTCAGTCCTCTCTCTCTCTCTCTCTCTCTCTCTATCTTTCTATCTCTTTCTCTGTTTCGTTCGCTTTTTCTCGTGCTCTCTCTCTCTCTCGCTCTCTCTCGCTATCTTTCTCTCTCTCTGTTTTGTTCGCTTTTTCTCTCTGTCTCTCTCTCTCTCTCTCTCTCTCTCTCTCTCTCTCTCTCTCTCTCTCTCTCTCTCTCTCTCTCTCTCTCTCTCCTCTCTCTCTCTCTCTCTCTCTCTCTCTCTCTCTCTCTCTCTCTCTCTCTCTCTCTCTCTCTCTCTCTCTCTCTCTCTCTCTCTCTCTCTCTTCTCTCTCTCTCTCTCTCTCTCTCTATCTATCTTCTATCTATCTTCTATCTATCTTCTATCTATCTATCTATCCCAATTTATCCCAATTTGTACTTTCTTTCTCTCTAGCTCTTAAATTATTAATATCTCCATCTATCTGTGTATCTGGAAATTTTTGTTTTGAATAATTACGCTATATATATATATATATATATATATATATATATATATATATATATATATATATATATATATATATATATATATATATGTGTGTGTGTGTGTGTGTGTGTGTGTGTGTTTGTGTGTATGCATGTATGTATATGTGTATTTAAATATATGCATACTTTGTATGTTTGGAGGAAGTTTTGCAGAAGTGCCACGGTTGATTGGCCAAACGCTAAATCCGTTACGTGTGTGTGTGTGTGTGTGTGTGTGTGTGTGTGTGTGTGTGTGTGTGTGTGTGTGTGTGTGTGTGCTCTGTCCCTTATCTATGCACGCACTGTCCTTCTATCAGTCCCTCCTTCTAAATACACTTGCCTGCTTGAGCGCACGCATTAGTGCATGTGCGCGACGTGTGTTTTTATCCGCGAGTGTGTGCGTGCGTGCGTGTGTGTGTGTCTTTGTGTGTGTGTGTGTGAGTTCGTGCATCCAATCCTCATGAGTCATCGTCACGTCCAGTACTCAGTCGTTAAGTCACGGTTGGCTGACGAGGGTGAGTCACAGCGCAGGTATGCAGGTATGAGTAAGACGTAGATGTGAATAACGTGAGTATGAGGGGAGTGAGGGGGAGTGAGGGGGGAGAGGGAGAGCTGTGACGGCGTTCGCTCGACGTCAGAGATGAGCAGGAAGTCATTCGGGGGAACTTGCAAGTATTTCCGGAACATATGGCTGCCTCTGTTACCGCACTTTCGGACCCTGCTATTTCTCTCGCTCTTTCTGTCTGTTTCTCTTAATCTTTCGCTTTTCTCTCTCTGTCTGTCTCTCTGTCTCTTTCTCTGTTTTCTTTCTCTTTGTCTGTCTCTCTGTCTCTGTCTCTGTCTCTGTCTCTCTCTCTCTCTCTCTCTCTCTCTCTCTCTCTCTCTCTCTCTCTCTCTCTCTCTCTCTCTCTCTCTCTCTCTCTCTCTCTCTCTCTCTCTCTCTCTCTCTCTTCTCTCTCTTTCACTCTGCGCGTTTTCGTTCTCTTTTACATATTGCTTTTATCAGTTTTCCCTCTTATTCTTTTCTTTTTCCCTCATTCTTTTTCTCTATTCCCTCCACGTTCCTACCTCCTCGAGCTCCTTTTCCTTTTCCTCTCCCTTTTCCAACTTTACTTCTGCCCTCTCTTCCTCCTCTTTCTTTTCTTTTCTGTTTCCATCTCCCGCTTCTCAAAAGACGCTTGCCCCTTTCTTTTATCAACCTTTCCCCTTCCCCTTCGCCCTTCTCTTCCTCCTATCCTTCCCCTCCCTTCATTCCTACCCCCTTCCCTTCCCACTTCCACCTCTTCCCCTTTCCTTTTTCCCCTTCGCCTTTGCACCTCCTTTTCCCCTTTTTCCCTTTCCCTTCTCTTCTTCCCTACTTCGCCCTTCGCCCCTCCTCCCTTCCTCCCTCCTTCGCCCCTTTCCCTTCCTTCCTTTCCCTTATTCCTTCTCCCTCCCCTTCCCTTCTCCCTTCCCCCTCCCCTTTCCCCCTTCCCCCCTCCCCCTTCCCTTCCCCCTTCCCCTTTCCCCTTCCCTCTTCCCCTTCCCCTTCCTTCTCCCCTTCTCCCTCTGCTCCCTTCCCTCGCCCCTTCCCCCTTCCCTTAGCCCCTCTCCCCCTTCCCGTTCTCCCACTCCTTCAGATCCGCCAAGTAACGGGAGGTCGTAGCGGTTTTTGCGAGGCTCCTTGTCCTTAGAACACCAGCCTCGGGGTGTGAGGCTCTCGGGTGCCGAAGGAGGAGGAGAGAGAGAAGAAGGAGAAGAGGAGAAGAGGGAGAAAGGAGGGGAGAGAGGGGGGGGAGAAAGGAGAGGAAGGGGAAGGGAGAGGAGAAAGGAGGAGAGGAAGAAGAAGGGGTGGGAGAAAGGAGGAGAGGGAGAAAAAAAAAGACGGGAGGGTAAGAGGAGGAAAAGGAGAAAGGAGAGGAAGAAAAGTAAGAAGAGGGAAGGGTTAAGAGAAGAGGAAGGGAGAAGAAGAGGGATGGAGAAAGGGTGAGAGGAAGAGAAGAAGGAGGAGGCAGGAGAGGAAGAAGAGGGAGGGGTAAGGGAAGAAGGAGGAGGGAAATAGCAGAGGGGAGAAAGGTTGTGAGAGAGAGAGAGAGAGAGAGAGATTGAAGGAAGGAAGGAGGTAGGTAGATAGGCAAACAGAGAGGGAGACAGACAACAGGCAGAAAGAGACATAAAGAGAGGAAGAAAAAAAATAGCTACAGACAGACAGACACGCAGGCAGAGAAAGATTTTTAAAAATCAAGAACGAACAAAAAAATAGGGATGAGAAAGATACAGAAAAATAAAGAGAGAAGCAAGAACAAGAAGAAGCCAGCATGAAGAGAGAATAGAACAGACAGACAGACAAACACGCGGACAGACAGAGAAGAATTAAAAGATCAAGAGCTAACAAAAAGAAGAAGGGAAAAAGAAAAGAGAAATTCAGAATAAGCCAACATGAAGAGAGAAAAGAACAAACAAACACATAGACAACGAAGGAATAAAGGATTTAAAAAAAAACGAACAAAAAGAAGAGAAAAGACAAAGAGAAATCCAAAACAACAAAGAGACGAACACCACAAACAAGAACAACAAAAAGAGAAGATTTTAAAAAGAAGAAAAAAATCATCTTCCGGATACGGCGAAGGCAGAGAAGCCCCGGGTCTTGACTTCGGAAAGGGCGAGATAACGCGGCAGTCGAGAGCAGGCGGTTGGGGTCCCTCGGTGG